AGCTAATCGTACCAAATGATTAACAGAGATGAAAGTTGATTGTCCCAAAGATTGCATATAATAAAACCATGAATTTTGAACTAATCATGTTGTACGATATTCATATCATACAAAAAGAACTACTTAAAATCAACTAACCATAATGTACGGTGAGAGTTGTATAGGACGATATATAGAGATGATTTTTATTTGTATCATAAATCATCATGTATAAATAGAGGAAATAAAATATATCATACTAAACGATCTCTGGATCATACTGTATGATGTGTTTGAATGAATTGAACAGTTCATTTGAATGACTATTTACATTGTATTAGATGGGACTAGTTTTGAACTGATCTTATTATATGAACAATGAATACTAACTTGATTTTTTAGGGTTTCTTGAAGCCCAATACTTACAAAAGTTTTAGAACCTCTCTTTGTAATGGTGACAGGAATGTGTGACTGCTGAAGATACTCTGAGAGAAAAGTTTTTGAGAAATCCAAGATTTGAGAGGAAGAAGAAGGTGAGGTTGAGCATGAGGGAGGTGTGTGAGGGGATCTCACGGTTTCTCTAGGCAAGCTATACACTTGCTCCTCCTGTGGCCTTGGTGAGTCTTTGAAAGCTCTCTGGGAAGAGAGGCTTCTTGGTCATGTCCTTGAGGTACTCTACCTTATCTAGGAACAAGAAAAAATAGCTGATGTACTATGCCTTCTCCATGAGGGAGAAGAAGGAGCCGAGGTTCTCTACCTTCTTTAGGAAGGAGAAAAATGAGTCAAGGTTCGCTTCCGTCACCTAGAGGGTGACATAGCGTCCGAAAATCCGTCACACCAGGTTTGGTGAAAGTGAGTTTGTAAGGACTTCTTTGCCTTGCTATGAGAGTAAAAGGAGAGTCACTTAGTGATCAGTGCAATATCTGGAACAGAGGACTCCTAGGAGTTGACAAAGGTCAAGTTTGACCAAACCACTTTAAAATTCTGTAGTATTTTTTTTCCTTTCTGCACTTTTATTTTTCTTCTATTTTAATTCTATTATGATGATTATTACTTAGTTTCATAAAATTAAGATATCATCATAATTAAATCAATATTTTTAATAGACTTATTCGCTTTTGTAATTTATTGAAATTTGGTATTTTTAATTTCTAAAACATTTCAAAAATATTATCAAAATTATTTAGGAGTTAAGAATTTTTTTTCAAATTACAATTCACCCTCCTGCCCTCTTAGAGAGCCTTAGGATAGTTTTTTATGGTTTAACAACCTTTATGAACTTCAGCATATTAATTATGGCGATAAAAACTTGTTTCGGTGAGCATGAAAACTAAAGAAACATGGTATGGAGTAGTGCCCGTTGGCCTTCTTCTTGCTTCAGCATGGATGGTGGTAGGAATGCTTCTCAACAAGGAAATTTTTGGAAGGTTTTAGATTGAATGGATTGCGTTTAGGCTTTGTTGGATGAGTTCTTTAATATCTCTGTTGCAGGTTATTCATCTGATAGATCCAAGCAATAATTTAGCTCATTCGATGACTTTCAGCCATTTCCTTCTAATTTTCAAGCTACTCCTAGATAAGATTTTCTACTTGTTCATTATTTTCTTGACCTATCCATTTGCAAATTTAAGTTTGAATGTAACTTGACCATGCAAGCTACTGACCAACTTTAGTTATCCATACCCATTAGGGATATGGAGCAGGTTTTCCCTACTTCAAACAGCTTTGATGGTTTTCATATGGCTTTTGAGTCCTCCACCAATTCAAACTGCACCACATTACATCAAATTGGTAATACTTGGTTGGATATTCCTTCTTTTGATTATAATGATCTAATTACTATTGTGAATGTTTTGGATGGGAGGTTGGTTGGTTCTTCCTCATGGTGTGTAAAAAATCACATAGTCTCATCTGAAGAGGCCATTGCTCAAGCATATGCTCATCTAATATTTGTGTAATGCATCAAAGGAATTTTTTATTAATTCGGGGGTCATTGGTGCTGATGATAAGCCACAATCTCACATTAAAGATTCCCCAAAGTGTTGTGTGTTTGGTGATCAGATCCAATGTTATTTTGCTTGGCAGAAGCCATCTTATACGCCTTTAGGCATGGTCATTAAGCTGAGGTAGCCAGCGATAATTCTAGAGAGAGAAGCTCCAAGATTCTAGAGAGAAAGTCATTTTTTCAAACTTTGAGTTCCCGGTTCTGTGTTCTGTTCTTCGCGGAATTTGCGGTGGAATTTATGGATGGACGCCGGCCATCTTCAGCGGCGGTAGGGATTGGAAATGCTAAAGGAAGGGGTATGATGCAAATCTTGGTGGATAAAAGAGGTCCTGTTGGTGTTTCTGGTTTTAAGAAATCGGAAGGAGTGATGAGCAATCGATTGAGAGGTCAGTTGATTATCAGGGAATCTAATGAAGAGAGCCCCAAGAAGATTATTGGTTGTGAAGGCAAAGGTAAGGAGGTTGCGACTGAAGGATTGATTGGTTCTTCAGAAGCTGTTCAGGTTTTTCGTAATCTTGATTCTAATGTTCTTTCGGCCTCTTCCTCCGATATGGAAATTTTCGTGCATAAATTTGGGATGTCAAATGCAATCCCTGATCACAGTACGATAAATGCGACTACACATAATTCTATTTCTTAAAATTCTCATATAAATGGTTGTTTGGGTTCAGAAGGAGTTAATGATGGAGGTAAGGTGAATGTTGTTATGACTGAGAGCATTGGTGTGAAAGTTGATGAGAATCCCTGGAAAAGAAAGCTGTATATCAGACTGGATTTTAAGGATGAGGACTTGTTGATGTCCGAAGATGGTGTGGATGTTAAACTAAGGGAGGATATGGAGATTTTGAATTCTAATAATCTTAGGAATTCATTGGTTATTAAGGTTTTTTGGAAAAGAGATTCCCTCACATTTGGTTGCTTGGGATGTGAGGTGCCAGTGGAAGATGTTTGGCAACATCCATTTTACTACTCTTGGAAGAGGTTTGTTTTTGTGTTCTTTTGGTTCGTCTGAGATGATGGATGGAGTTTTGACGGGATGACCATGGTTTGTAAATGGCCACATTATAGGAATGGAGCGATGGACAGCTGAATTCTCTACCTTGTCTATGAAAGGGTTGACTTCCCCAATATGGATTAGATTACCTCATTTACCCTTGCAATGTTGGGATGAGGTTAACATGGCAAGGATAGCTGCAATGGTAGGAAGACCTCTTATGTTGGATGGAAATTTGTTCCAATGGGGTAAGAGGGAATTTGCTAGAGTTTGCGTGAGGGTCAAGCTTGATCAAAGTCTCCCTATAAGAGTTTGGGTGGAGAGCATTTCAGGAAGATTTTTTCAAAAATTTGAATATGAAAGAATTTCATCTTTTTGCTATGATTGTGGAATGGTGGGAAATTTAAAAGCATATTGTAAAAGGAGGGGTTCAGTGGCTTTGGATAGCATTGCTGGTAATGGAAATGAAAAGGCGGTGAAAGGGGTGGAAATGCATCTTGAAGAAGATAACTGTTCTACGTATGGTCCCTGGATTATGGTGAACAGGAAAAGCTTTAGAAAATAGCCTCCGTTGAAGAGGAATTTGAAGGTGACAACTACTAGTCAGGTGTTTAAAAAAAGGGAGTGGAAGGGAAAATTATTGAAGTAAATTTTAAAGAGCAAGGTGGTGATGTTCCTGATGAGAAGCAGTTAAAGGGTATGGAAAATCAGCTTGAAGAATGTGAGATTGATATAACACTGGAAAAAGATGAGGGAACTAAGAGGCTGGATGATTCAGAGGTTGATCTGAATTTAATTGGCAAGGCATTTGACAAGGAAGTCAAGAATGCGGGTATGGTTTCTTCACTCATCTCTAATTCCTGTCAAATTAGTGAGAATATATTTCAGATTTTTCTAAGGGAAGATATGGATGAAGAGGTTTTATCTGGTAATTCTGGGAAGCCTGTTGAAGATGGTATTATCTGTGAAGACGGGATAAACTTCAGGAAGGGAGTTATGGTGCCTAGAGAAATTATGAGTAATTTTGTTAATGATGGAAGTCGTAGTAGGGGGAGAAGATTAATAGTGCTAAGGGGGATGTGGATAAGAGTAAACTGGCTAAAGAAATTAAATCACTGGGGCCCATTACGGTTAAAACTTTGGGGAGGATTGGTGATGGAGGTAGTAGGAAGAAGGATGGGGGATCTTCTCCCAAAAAAGGTTGATGGGATCTTTAGCCTTTTGGAATTGTAAAGGGGCTAGGAAGAAGGAAGCCTCTCTCTATATGAAAGAGTTTATTAAAGATTACAAGGTTTTTTTTGTTGGGTTGGTGGAAACTAAAATCAGTTTTTTTGATAAAGCTGATTTTGTGAAGCTTATGGGTCCATATTGGGTTTTCTTTTTAGTTCCTTCTAAAGGACTGTCAGGTGGTATAATGATTTTGTGGAGGATTGATGTGGCCTCTTTTTCCGTTATAAAGGCATTAGATCAATGTGTTATTGGTGAACTTAATGTCTTTAATAAGGGAGTTTGGATGATTACAACTGTGTATAGTAGCAAGGATGTTCAGAAAAGAAGGAAGCTTTGGGAATGTATTGGGGAACATTCGTTTAGAAATCTTCCTTCTATTATTGGGGGAGATTTTAATTGCATTTTTTCCCAAGAGGATAAGAAGGGTGGGAGGAAGTTTTCTTTTTCTCAAGGTTCCTTGGAGATGTCTACTTTTATGTATGGAATGATTATCATGATGTCAGGGTGGTTGGCATTAGATATACTTGGTGTAATAATAAGGTTGGCGGGGGAAGAATCCTTGAAAGTTTGGATAGGTTTTCGGTGAATTCATTGGCTTCAGATATTATTCAGTTTGGGGTGGAGAGACATTTAGCCAGAGTGCCTTTTGATCACTGTCCGATTGTGCTGGGTTTATTTGAAGTTGAGACTAGAAGGAAGAGTGGTATTAAATTTGAGGATGTTTGGCTTTCATTGAAAATAGCAGCTGCTATTGTGACTAAAGGATGACATAAATTTTATGCGGGAAATGACATGGAGGTGCTAAACAAGAAGTGTAAAAGAGCTTTGAATAACTTGTACTATTGGAGTAAATTCAAGCTGAAGGATTTTTCAACTGAAAAGGAAAGTTTAAAAGTTGAAATTCTTCAAATTCAGGAAGATGAAGCTAGGGAAGGGAAGTTGGATAATGAGAAGTTATGGTTGCTGAGATCTAAAGTTAAAAAGTTAAATGTTATTCTTAATTGCTTAAACACTTGGTGGAAACAAAGGGCAAAGGTGAAATTGGTTGAAGAAGGGGATTCTAATACAAAATTCTTTCATGTCTTTGCCAATGGAAGAAGAAATGCTAATTGGATCTACCAGGTGAAGAATGCTAGTGGTAGGATTTCTGAAGATCCCAGAGAGGTGGAAGAAATTTTTCTCAGATTTTTTCAAAGAAAATGGAGATATAGAAGCTGCAGTTTGGTTAGTTGGTAGAAACCGTGGACTGTTCTGGATAATGAAGACAAGGTATTGCTGGAGAAAGAAATTTCGGTGGAAGAGGTTAAGGAGGCTGTTATGAGGTTGGGAAATAACAAAGCTCCTGGCTGTGATGGGTTGACTCATTCCTTTTTCAAAGGGTATTGGGAGATTATTGAAGGGGACGTTTGCAAGGCGGTTACTTTGTTCTTCTCTTCGGGCAAGATGTGTAAAGAGTGGAAAGACACTTTAGTAGTGTTGATTCCTAAGTACTTTTATCCTCTTTCTCCTTCTGGGTTTTGACCTATTAGTTTATGTAATTCTATTTATAAAATTGTTGCTAAAGTGATTTTAAACAGAATGATAATGGTGATCCCAAAGATCATCTCAGAAGAACAGGTTGCTTTTGTGAAGGGGAGATCTATCTCTGATCATCTTTTATTAGCTCAAGAGTTCTTCAACAAGTTAAGATTTTCAAAGGTGTGCAATGGATATATGGCTATCAAATTAGATATGGAACAAGCATACGATAGTATGTGTTGGTTAACCTTGGAGAAGATGATGATGGAATTTGGATTCCCGGAAAGTTTTATTGGAATGGTGTTGGATTGTGTTTCAGATCCTAGATTCTCTATTGTGATCAATGGGAATAATTCGTTGTGGATTGTAGGTAAAAGTAGATTTCGCCAGGGCTGTCCACTATCTCCATTCTTGTTTATTATGTGCTCATAATTATTATCTAATTCCTTCTTTGAGAATGGGCTGAATTTGGGAATTAGAATTTGTGCTAAGGCTCCCAAGATCACACATATGTTGTATGCAGATGATGTGTTGCTGTTCTCAGATGCCAAACTGAAAAATGTTAGGAAGATGTGGAACATTGTGAGAGACTATTGTAAGTGGACAGGGCAGTCTATCAATCAATAGAAATCGGTTCTGATTTGCGGGAAGGCTGTAAGTAGGAGGAAGAGGAAAATTTCAAAGCTACTGGGGATCAAATTGGAAGAAGAATTGGAGTATCTAGGGATAAAGATTTCTTTAAGAAGGTTAAGGATAGTTGACTTCCAAATACTTCTGGACAAATCTCTGAAAAGGCTCAATGCTTGGGGAAATAGGTTTATTTCTCTCGCTGGTAAGCTTATGTTGGTGAAATCTGTTCTGCTTGCACTCCCGAATTTCTTGATTGCTCATTCATTAGTTCTCAAGCGGATATTGTATGAGTTAGAAAGATATTGTAGAGATTTTATTTGGCATAAGATGGATGGAAGTCGTGGCTTGCATTATGTGAGCTGGGAAGTGTTGTGTCGACCGAAGCAGTGTGGTGAATGGGGTGTTCATGCTGCATTCGATAGAATGGGACCGCTTAGAGCTAAATTTGCTTGGAATATTATGGAGAATCCTAATTCTCTGTTTAACAGGAACGTTTTAGCCAAATATGGTGATAATTGGTGGAAAATGGAGGAAGCTAGAGGTGGTTCTAATTCATGGAAGATTTTGATGAGTGGGTGGAAAGTTCTTAAAAATTTCTTAAGGTGGAAGGTGGTTAATGGTGCTAACATTGATGTCTTAAAAGAAGGTTGGATTATGGATAAAAGCTTATTGAAGTGGCCTACATTTGTGGGTAATTTAGAAGTCGATGACATAAAACTGAACTATTTCATTGATAATGGCAACTTGGATTTCTCAAAGCTCAGAAACTGCTTCGGGGAGAACTTGGTAAGGATGATTGAAGATGTACAGATTTTTGATTCTCTGCATGAAGATCAAATGGAACTGAAGCTGCATTTTATGGGTAAATCTTTATCTGCTTTATTAATGGAAAGTAAATACAAATATGATTTGGCACATGATGATATTACCTGGATTCATAAATTGAATATAAATGATAAAGTAAAGTTGTTTCTTTGGCGTATCTGTACTGATGTAATTCCAACTGAAGTTTTTTTGTTTAAGAGAAGGATTTCGGGGAACATTCTTTGTCCCATTGGTGTGAGGAAAAGAAAAATCTGGATCATATTACATCTACATGTTTAAATCTGTTGAATGTGAATAATGTTTTAAGGAGTTGGGGACTTAAAATTACTGCTTACAGCAGCTTTACAGATTGGTTTCAGGGTATGCAAAATTTGGTTACGAATAATGATTTAACATCAAAGTTATATGCTTTGAGTGTTTGGTTTGTCTGGAACAACAGATGCAAGGTGAAACATGGGAATTTTGGTAGTGCGCTGAGATGATTGCTGCTTTTGTAATTAGCTTTTACAGTTCTTCTAATCAAGGTGTTTATCGCTCAGATCACTGGGATGCTTATCGATCTGAATGGTTGCTCTCAGATTATTGGCATCCCCCTCCACCTGAGTGGTTAAAGCTCAATTTGGATGCTTCTCTTAAAGAGAACTATGATGCGGGGTTAGGAGGGGTCTTAAGAGATGACAAAGGGAGATTTATTTTTTGCTTTTGGGAGGAAAAAAAGGCATTGGGACATTGCTTGTATGGAGTTATCAGCTTTCAAATCTGTGAAAGTGGTGATGCAATAGTGGATTTATATAGCTAAAGGTCTTATAGTAGAGGGAGATAATAAAAATGTTCTCAAGTTTCTTCAACAACTGTACAACAAACAGAGGAAACCCGGCGGGAACAGTGAGGAGGATGGTCTTTTATTCTTGAACAAATGTAATAATGTAATTTTCAATTGTGTTGGGCGAAATAGTAATAAATTAGCGTATTATTGCGCTAACTTAGCTTTGTATTTTGAATTTGTTAGGGACACTTCTTTGGAGAGCAACCTTCCCTCTACCTTTAATCATATTTAAAGGAAGAGTGTGATAGGTGGGTAGTCTCTTCTTAGTTTGTATCTAGGGTTTTCCTTTTTACTTTAATTGATACTTAGCATTTCTCTAAAAAAAAGGCAAGGTCATTAAAGATAAGGTCTTGATGGGGATGGCATTTGTATGAGCCAGAACTTGGACAATGTTCATGAAAATATTTCCAAATTGGAATGTGCTATAACTGAGAAGCTTCTAGGCAAGCGGGTCTCTTTTACATGGCTCAAAGGTGAACTATCAAAGCGATGGTCTCATGTTGGAGAGTTTCAATTGATCACCATTGCTCAAAATTATTTTATCAATATTTTTAAAAGCTCTGATGCTCGAGATACCAACTTTAGAGGTGGTCCTTGGATTGTAGTGAGGAGCATTTTTAGCATTGACTTGTGTTCAAGTTCTTTCTCTCTTGAGGATATGACATGTTTCTCCTTGCCAGTTTGGGTCTGATTTCCTCAGCTTTCTCTGATGTATTGGGATCCTTCAAATATTGCTCATATAGATGCTATGTGAAACTCTTTGGATATATGAGCATTCATCAATTAGGGGTTAAAGTTCTTTTGCTAGAGTATGTGTCTGAATTAATTTGACACAAAAAACTTTCTTCATGGTGTTGGATTAAGGGATTGAATGGAAGATTTTTTCAACGAGTTGAGTACAAGGGTCATTCTCATCTTTATTTACATTGTGGATTTATTGACCATAAAGTAGAGTCTTGCCTTTTCAAGACTAAGTAGTAGCCTACATGTAAATGAAAACAACACTCTTTATTCTTAAGTAATGGAGATACAAAATCCAGCTATGTCTGTGGATACTTAGCAATCTGATCTGCCTTCTTCCCTAGAGATTTTGGGAACTTAGAACATCATCTCTAGAAGGAGAAAGCCTAAGAAGAAAGGGCATCTTCTAGCCAACCCTTCTAAAGGTCATGAAATTAGACGACCCTTGCCAATGTCTGCTATCTCAAACCTAGAGCCTATTATTTTCTCTACTCAAAAATCTCAGCAGCACGATATCTCCATCAACTATCTAAATCTTTCCAAGTATAGACTGGGAGTTTCTAATGGTCACCTTTAGAAAGAATTGCTGTAGCTGGGGCCTGTCACCACTACACCTCAAAAGAGGAAAATATTAACTAATGAGATCTTTATAAGGATTTTAGCCTCCTCAAATGATCATCATTGAAGCCTTATTTTGGTGTTCTTTTATAATTTGGGGGGTCTGTTGTTTTCCGATGATGGGTTTTTGTTCCCCTTTTTTCTTTTTGTTATTATTTTATTTTATTTTCATTTGTTGGCTTTCTCTTGTGTGTTGGGGAGCTGAGAGTGGCATTTTATTCAAAGTTTGTACTCTTTTATAACCCTTTCTTATGGTTTAATGAATTATTTTTTAGGGTAAGAAAAATAACCTTCACAAACTTTCAAGTGGGTATTAGAGCACGTTTCAAAAACAAGGTTTTAGAAAAATTTTAAAGAATGATCAATGGATTATTTTGGTAATCATAACACTATAGAGGGTTATTCGATAATACGGACACGACTGTTTAAAAATATTCCTTTTAATTTCTAGAAAATATGCATGTCTACTTTTTACAATCCGTTAACTATAGAATTTGGCATATGATTCAAACTATTTATTCACTTCGATAGCATGTAGTTAATGGTGTCAAAATAGATATTCCTTTTATTGAATGGAGTTATGAGGACTGGGAGCTTGCATAATTAAAGGATATATGTTTGATTTATTTCTTTTGTACTTTAAAATCTGAAGACTATATACGAGTTTTTACATGCACTATAGGGAAGGAGATTTGTGATGGGTCATGTATCACTTATGAGAGAACTAGTAAAGTTAAAAAGTCTAGGTTAAATATTATATTGCATGACTATAAACTCATTTGCATGGAACTTAGTAAGATTGTATCTTAAATATACACTAGATTTACCCCAGATAGTAACATCCTTATATGTATTAGGTAGAGAGCTATCAAACTATGAAGAATTTAATAAGATTCTATATTGTTTACCTAGTTCTTATAATGCCAAGAAAATTGCAATGACTGAATCTAAAGACTTGAATGTTTATTTCATTGATAATTTTCTTGGATCATTCATTGTCTATAAGCAAGGAGTGAGTCAAAGGCAAAATGATGTAAGAGAGAAGAAGAAGGAGATAACTGTATCACTAAATGCAAACAATTCGGATAGTGATAGTTCTGCAGTAGAGGAGGATGGTGACATCGCCTTAATGACACAGTAGTTGAAGAGTTTTCTAAAAAGAAAATAGAAAAGTTATCAACACAATTGGAGAAAAGGTGAAAGCAACAAAAATTTTAAAGCTACTTTTTAACATAATTTTCTTCGAGTGCAGGAAACAAGGTGACCTCCGAGCTACATGACCCCAACCTAAAGATTCATCTGATCAAGAAAAAGGGTGAAGAGAAGCTAAAACTCAAAAGGGGCAAGCAAAAGACAGTGAGATTTTTAGGCCTACTATACTTCAGAATCATCAAAAGCAAAAGAAGAGGAGATTGTTAAGAGAGTTGCTATTTACATGTTTTACATTCTTGCAACTTGTAAACTTTTGATGATTCTAAATATTATTGTTTGATAGTTTTGTTTTCTCCTAACACTTTTTAGAAGAATTATTTTACTCTTGTGTGGACTAACATTTCAGGATAATCGAACTCCAGACTAATGAAGACTTTAAATCAAAATTTAGCAAGAGATAATTTGTAAATTAAAGCTTGTACTTTTCATTATATTGAGTTTGAGAGGGAGTGATTGTAATTAAGTAACTTAGCACACACACACTTGGGGAGATCTTTAAAATTCATATTGATCGTATGGGATGAACCATGTTCGTCCGGGACAATCAAGTTAGTTATCCCCTCGGAAGAGCATTAGAACAAACAGGAAGTGAAAATTTTTCTAAGTCCTGATCGTCCAGACGAATTTTTCTATTCGTCCCGGGATGAAATGCTCTCTAGAAAATTTTCGTTCAGGAAAAATCCTATTCATGCAAGGACGAAATGCTCTCTATAAAAATATCATCCAGACGAACTCCAATTCGTCCCAGGATGAAATGCTCTCTGGAAAATTTTTGTTAAGATGAAATCTTATATTCGGCCCAGGACGAAATGCTCTCTGTAGAAATTTCTTCCAGACGAACTCTTATTCGTCCCAGGACCAAAATGCTCTATCCTTTCTAATTTTGATAACTTCCTGCAGTTTGTCGAAACTGACCCATGGTATAACTGTTCGTACCGGATGAACTTAATTCGTACGGGATGATAATCGGGTATGAAGTCAGTTCATACTAATATACATTGGGTTCATATGCAATTGATTTAAGTAAGTTTGTCAAGGACGATCCACGATCGTACGGAACGATCTACTATGTACAGATTTGAAAATCAGTAATTTTTGGATAATTTTTTGTGTCTTTCGTATATAAAGTCCAATTAGAATTGCTTCTTAATATTTTTGCCTACTGATCTTCATGCCAACTGAAGGGAGACTCAAGGAGTGAGTGTGAGAGAGTATTTGAAGGAGGATTATTACTACTGGAGCGTGAAAGATTTACTTGGTACTCAAAAGTAAGAATCTCTACTTATGGTTTTTGATTACTTCACTCTTTTCTTCCTTTTAGATTTCTTGTGAGAAGATCTGTCAAAGAGATCTGATTCTCTGCCGACACTTGGAGAGTGTGAAAGAACAAAGGGTTCTCTGCCCATACTTGGAGTGTGTGAAAGGACGAAGGGTTCTCTGCCCATACTTGGAGAATGTGAAAGGACGAAGGGTTCTCTGCCTACACCGGGAGAGTGTGAAAGGACGGACGGTTCTCTGCCAACATTGGGAAGAGTGTAAAAGGATGACAGTTCTCTGTCGCACTGGGTAATGGTGTAAGAGAGTTTTGTAAAGGCTTCTCCGCCTTGTTTTGGGTGCAAAAGAAGAGTCACTAATGGTATTAGTGTAATACTCGAAGGGTGCCTCTGGGGAGTGGATGTAGGTCGTGTTTGACCGAACCATTATAAATCTTGTGTCTTTTTATTTTCTGCTATCTTTTGTTTTTACTGTTTAACTTGTGGTTGAAAAATCATTTTCTACAAAATTCATTAAAATAAATTTTCGGTATAAAATTTTAAAAGAGGATAAAATTTTTTAATTACCAATTCATCCCCCTCTTGATTAGCTGCTGGGACATAAGCTTAGGTTTAACATCCTAATTCACATTAAACAAGTTTCAACAAATTAGTCTGATGATTAATGAAAGAAGTCAAGATTTGATTGATCAATCATATCATCCAGGATAATTATAGAATTATTCGATTGATCAGTTAAACAAATCTTAGTTTCTTGCTGGACGACCAGAATGATGTTATGGTGATATGTATTGATTTGAATTAATCGTACAGGACGGTCCAAGAATCATTCTAGATGATCCATTTTTTTATCACTTAAACATTTAAAGTCTGGCCGAACAGAGCGATGGTCTAGACGATATTTGACATTTTGAACTAATCGTATAGGATTATCGAGAAATCTTCCTGGACTCTTTGTTATTTTTTCATCATACAGATAGGTAAAGTCTGGCCGAATAGAGCAATGGTCTGGATGATATTCTATGTCATAAATAAATCATACAGGAAGATGATCATCCTGGATAATCAGAACAAACAACCCTTCTAATCATCGTGCCTCCCCTAGATCGTCCTAGATGATTGAGCTGA